TTTTAAATTTCCTTATTTTATTTTATATAAATTTATTTTATATGAGAAAATAAAATATTTTATTTTATAAATAAATCAACAAATAAATAAAAAAGTATAAATAAAATAAAACAAAATAAAATTTCACTTCAGGGAAAAATTATCCTTTAAAAATGCAGAATAATAAAAAAAAGCAAACATTTTTTATTTATTTATTTATTTTTTTATATATATTTTTATATTTATTCTACATTTTTAAAGGATAATTATTCCTTGAAGTGAAATTGCTTATTTTATTTTCTAGGAGAATTATTGGAGAATTTTAAATTATTCTTTTTTTTAATAGGATTTTAAGGCAAGTTTTATTTTATTGGTATTCATTTTATTTTTTCATTTTAAAATTTGCTTATATTTAAAGCATTTTTTTTTCTCCATGAAGTGAAAATGTGTTTTATTTTATTTTAGTGCCCATCATGTAATAACAGTAATGTGTGGACCAGCACATAGCACACTGTTTCTGCAGCATACAGAATGTTGACAGTGCCTAGTATGCATGGAATACCCAAAAGGCAAACTGTTTATTCTTGTGTAATAAGTACTGTTTCACATTCTATTTAAAAAAATAGTAGGAGGTGTTCGGTTTAAGCTGTGCAGCATGCAGTATACTGAGTTTCTCATCAAAAGTTGAGGAACAGAGCTCGTCACAACCTCTTATGTCAAAGCCGGTGGCCCAGGATGTGAATTGTGGGGCACTAGTGTAGTTGCCATGGTTTATCTTTAGCTAATAATAGACACCTTATACTATAAGAATATAGTGTAATATAGAAGATATATAATTACATTGTGCAACAATGATAGCCATTGTTGAGTGTGAAAGGCTCATAGTGCCTTTAGTGCTAGGAACATTTGTTTTCCGTCTGTTCTGTATTTTGCATCTGACTTCCTTCAATCATATTACCATTTTTTTGCCATGTTTTATGAAGGTTTTACTGTTACGGAAAGGATATCTATTGAGGAACATGCTCATTTAGATATATGTTTCTTCACTTTTAGTATGAATGTTGAAATGAATGTTGCTTATCTAGCTCAGTCAGTAGTGCTTTAGACTTTTAATCTTATGCTTGTGGGTTCGAATCCCGTGCTACACAGGAATTTTTTCATGTGTGAAACTGTTGGTTTAGACTAAAGCATGTGCTAAATGAATATAAGTAAATATACAGTAACTATACAGGTACAGTTGAGGTCAAAAGTTTACAGACACCTTTCAGAATCCGCAAAATGTTAATTATTTTACCAAAATAAGAGGGATCATACAAAATGCATGTTATTGTTTATTTAGTACTGACCTGAATAAGATATTTCACATAAAAGATACATAAAATAATAGTTGAATTTATACAAATGACCCAGTTCAAAAGTTTACATCCCCTTGGTTCTTAATACTGTGTTGTTACCTGAATGATCCACAGCTGGGGTTTTTTTTTGTTTGGTGATAGTTGTTCACGAGTCCCTTGTTTGTCCTGAACAGTTAAACTGCCTGCTGTTCTTCAGAAAAATCCTTCAGCTCCCACAAATTCTTTGGTTTTCCAGCATTTTTGTGTATTTGAACCTTTTCCAACAATGACTGTATGATTTTGAGATCCATCTTTTCACACTGAGGACAACTGAGGGACTCACTGATGCTCCAGAAGAAAAAAAACAATGCATTTAGAGCCGGGGGGGGAAAACTTTTGAACCGAACGAAGATGTGTACATGTTTCTTATTTTGCCTAAATATCATATTTTTTCATTTAGTACTACCCTTCAGAAGATACTTGCATGTTTCCCAAAAGACAAAATAAGTTAAATTTACCCTAAACTTCAAATTCAAAAAGTTTTCACCCCCCGGCTCTTAATGCATGGTTTTCCCTTCTGGAGCATCAGTGAGCGTTTAAACCTTCTTTATGTGAAATATTTTAGGTCAGTACTAAATAAACAATAACATGCATTTTGTATGATCCCTCTTATTTTGGTAAAATAATTCACATTTAGCAGATTCTAAAAGGGGGATGTAAACTTTTGACCTCAACTGTATGGGGCTGCACCATATATCGAAATAAAATTGAAATTGCAATATGGTTGCGATTTTAAATAAGCAAATATGTGCAAAACTGGTTTCAGAGTGAAGTGCAACACCTGTTCACATGATTTTTTTATTAAGCATTTGATTTTTTTATTTATTTTTACATTACAATAAAATTAAACTTTATTTCATATTTTGTTTGTAATAATCACAATAAAATTGTAGCTTTATTATTTTATAGTCCTATTGAATTGGTCCAGAAAAAAATCTGAGTTTCAGAGTGAAGTGTGGCACTATTCATTTACACGTTATTTTTTATTAAATATTTGATTTGTTAAACTTTTACAGAACAATAATATTACAGTATATTTCATTTATTCTTTTGTACTTTAAATAATAATCACAGTAAAATACTATTTTATATATATATATATATATATATATATATATATATATAAACTTTGTTCACCTTATGGTTACTGATGAAAGACATTTTAGTTGGTTCGTGTGACTGACAACACCCACATTTTTCAAGTTTTTTTCGAAATTGTTCAGCCTTACAAGAATGGTTCAAACTCCCAAAAGTATAAAAATTTTTCAGGTTTTTTGTTATTACTTTTATTTTCCATGCTGATATATTTCCCAACAAAATCATCCCATTCATTGTAGAATGATTCATTCTTTCCAAATATAGCTATTCATCTCATCTGGTTAGATGTGTTTTTCATATATATATACACACACACACACACACATATACAGTGGGTACGGAAAG